AACAATAGAAATAAAAAATTATTATTTGGGGGGGGGAAATCCAGACAAAAGAGTAACTATTGTATGATTCACTTCTATAATATTCTAGAAAATGTAAACTAATCTATAGTGACAGAAAGCGAGTCTGTGATTGCCTGAAGTGAGGGAAGTGATCAAAAAAAGGGGAGAGAATATTCTAAAGAAATATCTAGTTACCTTTGGGAGTGATGTATATGTTCATTATCTTAATGGTTTTATGTGCATATACATATGTCAAAATTCATCAAATTATATAGTTTAAACATGTGCATTTTATTGTGTGTCAATTATACCTAAATAAAACTGTAAAAAATAATAGATACATATATATACACACACATATATACACTCACCATATGACCTAGCATTCTATTCTTAGGCATTTATTCAAGAGACATGAACACATATATCCGCACTCTAGAACTGGAAAAACCCAATCCAAAATGACAAAAGGCAAATCATATTGATTGCCTTGGATCAAGGTGAAGGATTAACTGCAAAGGGACACCATCTGGAGAGAAAACTTTATAGCTACATGAAGTTTCTTGATGGGAATTTTTCTGTACATCCCAAGTGAAATGTGTTCTGAATTGCAAGTGGAAGATTTAGAAGACAGGTAACAATTACCCTTTACTGAAACAACTCTGCTCCAAGCATGGTGCCCTCTCCAACCAGTTCCTCTAACCTTCCTAACAATCCTATAGCGTAAGTATTATTATTCCCAGTTTAGATTAGGAGGCTTGAACTCAGAGGAAATAAGAAACCTACCCAAGGTCTCTCCATAAGTAAATAGCAAGCCTCTTTCAAAGTTTTGACATTTACCTCAAGCACCTAAGTCAACAAGGAAAGGCGACAGAGGGAATGAACGTTAATTAGGTGCCTATTCTGTGGCAGGGGCTCTAAACAGTGCAACAACCTGAGGGAACAGAAGTTACTATTTCCACTTACAGATGAGAAAGCAAAGGCTTACCAAGCATGAGTAACTTCCCCCTAGTCACACAGATGGTACATGGCACAACCGGATAGAACTTAAATCTGCCCGAATCTATCGGATATGATACCAAAAAATCAGAAGTGACTTAACCCACCTTACATTTTGGTCATCTTCAAATAAACAAATATACTTTATTCTATAAGAGGTATGTATTTACATTGCAGCAAAGTACAATAAGAACCAAAATAGCAACAACACAAAATACAGCTCGTCCTCCAAGAGCTTGCAATTTGATAAGGAAAATGTACACACACACACACACACACGTTAAGGAATACAGAGTAGTCATTAATTTCGGGATGCAGCCACTAAATGATATGGGAGCTCGGAGAAGCCTGGGGTCCAGGTGGTTCAGCAGTCAGGAAAGGCCTTTCCTAAGATGGTCCTGGGGATGGAAAATGCCGGGGAGACAGAATGAAAGGGTACCAGGATGAGTAAAAGCAGAGGGAAGGATGAAGACAATATAGCTCAGTAACAGTGAAGAAGCCAGCTTGATTGCTTCAGAGGGCTGAAAGGAAACAACCCAAGTGTCCACTAACTGATGAATGAGTAAACAAAATGGGCTATCTCCACACAACAGAGTACTATCATCAATAAAAAATGAAGCACCGATACATGCTACAACATGGGCGAAACTTGAAAACATGCTAGTAAAATTAGTCCGCCACAAAAGGCCACATACTGTATAACTTAACTTCCATGAAAGGTTCGGGATAAGTAGTGGTTCCCAAAGGTGGGGAAGCAGTGGAGAGAAACTGCTAATTGGTACAGGGATTTTTTTATTGGGTGATGAAAATGTTCTAAAATTTATTGTGGTGATGGTTACACTCTTCTGAATATACTCAAAACCACTGAACCCTATCCTTCAAATGGGTCAACTGTATTGTACATGAATCACATCTCAATTATGCCATTAAAACAAAATGAGGGTTCAGGAGGATACCACATTACACAGCTGAGATGGAGTCACTTATGCTAAGTTTAAGAGTATGTGATTTGCTGAAACCGGTTTGGCTCAGTGGATAGAGCATCGCCCTGTGGACTGAAGGGTCCCGGGTTCGATTCCGGTCAAGGGCATGTACCTTGGTTGTGGGCACATCCCCAGTGGGGGGGGGGGGGGTGCAAGAGGCAGCTGATCGATGATTCTCTCTCATCGATGTTTCTAACTCTCCATTTCTCTCTCTTCCTCTCTGTAAAAAATCAATAAAATATATTTATTAAAAAAAAGAATATGTGATTTATCTGGTATGCAATTAGAGATATGAGTAAAGAATTACCTAATGAAAGCACAGCATACACACTTAAAGACTCTTCTCTAGCAAAATAATTCACATGTTTTAAGTACATTCCTAAAATATATGCCAAACTGTCAAAGAGGAGAGAGAACAGAAAAAGATGCTGCAGTAAGATTTTAACTAATCCACAAGCTGTGACTATTAGGAAAGTTGTTTTGCTTCAGTGCTAAATGCCACAGATGGGTATATCAGCATCATATTTATGCAAAACCACAAGTTTGTCTGTGTCAAATCTTTAAATACCACAATGTTCTACACTTAATTGTGAAAATAGCATTAATAATTGGTCTGCCACGCTATGGAGTAAGGTAATAAACCGTGTGATTTGTTTTTCATTGGATGACAGTACTAAGTATATAATGCTTTTTTAAATATTAGATTCAATTTAAGTTATGAGAATCTCTACTAATGTAAAGCATTTCCTACTCATTTGACTCTAAATTCTAATTTAACATAGTACTCCAAAATAGTTTTAATATACAACATAATAGAGCTAAAAAACAAATCTGACATTCAAAAGTGGAGAGCAAAAAAGAATGTCTGGATACTAAAGATCCAATACAAAGGAAAAGGTAAAGCACTAAAAAATAAACCTGAAAATCAGAGAGAGAGAGAAACAGAATTCAATATTGGGTTCTACAGCGCTGGGGAGGCCAAACATTTCTTTAAAGGAGTAAAATACATCGCAAATAGAAGGCGCGGTACATGAGATCAGCCGGCTTCAGCGGAGGCAGCCTCTGGAGTTCTACCAACAATCCCATACCTCCCTCACCCCGGCCTGAAAGAACCTTTCAGGCCGCCTGGGCCTGGAGGTGAAACCCCACTTCCCGCCAGGAGGTGGTGAGATGCTGGGAAGACAAAAGAAGAATTCAGCTCAGACCCAGACACAACCCAACTAGTGTTCTCAGTCACCTTGCAAACCTCCTTCCAGGCAGATGAGCGGTAAGAAAGTAGGAGAGCTATCGGATCTCTTTTTAACTTCTCTTGCTGAAGAATGAGAGGACCCGGCAGTCTCTGTCGGGGCTTTGTAAGTCCGAGGACCAGATGAAACTTATGTTCGCTACCTTGAGAAATACAGACACCTCAGAAGACCTGGTTCGGTAACAAACAAAAGTAAAAGAGCAAACAAGTAAGCCATCCTAAAAGAGAAGCCTTGTCACTGATATCTAGAATAAGGGATCTGCTGTCACAGGTAAGTAGAGCAAGATTCCATTTCCTCATTGTAAGCCAGCGCTTAGACAAAGAAAAGAATTCAGGCGGAGGAAGTAAGACCTTATTTCAAATTATTTACTGCAGCATGTTAAAAATAAACTTATCCAAACTTTTACCAACTGTCTGCCTACTCCAATTAAAAAAATAAAAATAAAAAATCTGGGAAAAGACAAGTGTTTGTAACTACTGTTCACCATGTTGGACATGTTCATGTACTAATATGTTCATGTTCATGGAATAATGTACTTCAAAGATAGCAATAAAATATCCAAATGGGTTAAATGTTGGATTATTCTCTATGTAAACACCAAAACACATACTGTTAATGTATACATAAATAAAAGTTTTCTTTCAAATAAATAGGTAGACTTGATGAGAGCATGCTACCAAAGACCACCAGTAATATCAACAGAAGGTCCAAGATCCAGAAACATTTTAAAGTGATGGAATTATTGGAGAAGATATTCCAGATTGTAAGCATGCTAAAATCCCGACTAAACTAAGAACTGAAACCCGAGGTGCCACTAACAGACTAAAGAATATTTTTTTATAATGGGTGCCATGGAAAGGGAATTTTTTAATAGAATCCTTCGATGAGTGACATGGACCTAGAAACATAATCTATACACAAGGAAGAACAGGTAACCTGCCAGACCTGAAACTGGAAAAATAGACTGAAGCTAAGGAAACAAGGATGACAAAATATCCCCGTGGTACATAACACCAGTTTTCAAAATCAGATGGTGAAAAACTAATTTGCTGAAAGAGAAGGGGGGAAAAAAACCGCACTAATTAAAGAGAGTTCTTAAAACAAAAGGACACGAAGTACCTTAGGAAAATTTCTGTTTCCGAAGTATAGATATGCTCATTAATGTTGGCCACATCTGCTTTTAAGAAGCTAAAAACACCATTTTTAAAATAGTTGGGGGAAATCTTGTAAATATTTACAATAAACATTTGCCTTAAGCAATTCTGTAGCGCTTGTGAGATGAATGCAATTAAATTTTAAAATCTCTCAAGTATTATCATGGAGCTCACATAGCGGAAGTAATATGAACAGCTACCATATTTGTGGATTTTTTTTTTATAGTAAGTAGCATATAAGGTTCACTCTCTACAAGTAACTTAAATTAATCCCTGGATAATCCTGAGTCTCATCTAAACTTATTGGATGTTATGTGAGAACCGCTAAATCTGGAAAATAAAAAAAAGAATGAGATTCAATTCAAACCACTAGTTCTGTTCCTCCTCCTCCAAGCGGTATTAAGTCAGGCATCTTCCTCTATTTCAGCTCTCCAATGTGTAAGTCCATAGCTAAATCTTGACTTATAAATCTTAATTTAGGTGGGAATAAGAGCTAAATCATAATTAAGTGCTGTGCATGCAAAAGGGACTGAACGTAACCGTAGCACATTTCAGAGCCTGGGTCCACGCGGCGAGAGCAGGAATTTCACAGGACTTCACAGGACTTGCGGAAATACCTGAGCAGATACACAGCCCTCTCAATATCCCCGAGGTCTTCGTCAACTGTCAGTCTTTCTATTTCTTCCGGTGTCTGTCAAGTGCAAAAGACAGATGATGGCCACCGCTGCATCAGCCTCGCCCCCAGTGCCCTGCAGGGGCCTAGGTAACCGCTGTGGCCAATGGGAAAGTCTCGGGACTCACTGAGCATTGTCACCGAAATCCAAGGATCAGAGGGATCTAACTGTTGGGTTTGGGTGGAAGAGGTTTGGGTTTGGTTTTTGTTTAGTTTTTGGGTTTGTTTTTTTTTTCCTTTTTTTTACTCTTGTAGCTTTTAGATTGAAGCTTGAGAATCACATTGTGGCTTCAGAACAATGCTGAAATCAATTTTATATGCATATTTAAAAATGTGTACACACTTTTTATCTCTACTATCCCAAGGCGCTGTCCACCCCAGGACATGCTACGAGGGGCGATGGGTGAAGACTGCAGCGGAGTGGGAATGAAACAGGAAATCTGGAAGCTGGGGGATGGGGGGGGGGGTCTGTAAAAGGGGAGCTGGGAGGAAATCAAGGCAGGAGACCTCAGGACGGCAGAGCAGGAGCTGCAGGGGGAGCTGGGGCCGGACGGGTTGGCAGCAGCAGGGCTGGAGCCTCGGAGGCTGGGAGGATGACTCTGCGGGCGGGGAGCCGGGGTGCGGGGCGCCGTGGAGCTGCCTCCCTCCAGACGGTGGGGCGCGGGTCCTGGGAGGGCCGTGGCGGGCTGGGGGGCTGCAGGGGCTGAGGGGCCTGGGGGGAGGAGGAAGGGCTCAGGGTGACTCAGGATGGAGGCGAAGGGTCGACGGGTGGGGTGCCGGCTGGAGGTGACGGGAGGCCGGGGACTGGAGAAGGGGTGCGATCTGGGGTGTCGGGGGCGGGTGGGGTGAGGGTCGCGGCGGCGGTGGCTGAGGGGGGGCGGGGGCCGGGGCTGAGCCTGGCCGAGGGGGCACCGGGAGGGGACCGGGGGGCGGCGGGGGCGGCGGGGCAGGCGGGGCTCGGGTCCGCCCGGCCGTTCGCGGGGCGGGATGGGGAGGGCACCAGGGGGCCGGGGCGTCCGGGAGCCGCGGGGCTGGCGCGGCCAGGGTCCGAGGAGAGAGCCCAGGGCTCGTCCCTCGAAGCTGGGGGCCAGGCTGGGAGAACCAGCCGGCTGCGTCGAAGAAGGGGCCCCGGGAGGGCCGGTTTGGGGTGACACGGCGAGCGGAGGCGGCCGAGGGGCCGCCCCAGGGCCGGGCCGGCGGGGTCGGGACCGGGCGGGCCGCCGGCGCCCGGCGGGCAGTCCTCCTCCCCGGGGCGCGCACCTTGAGGCTCCGGCGGACCGGCCTCTCGATGATGGTGAGCTCCTGCAGGTCCTCCGTGTAGCCGAACAGGCTGTTCTGACTGAAATCCATCGCGGCGGCGGACGGCGGCGGATGCATGGACCGCCGGGCCCCCTCGCCGCCCGGGCCGGAGCGGCCCCCGGATGCGGGACTCGCGCGGCCCCGCGGGCGCCGCCAGCAGGACTGTCTCCCGCTCTCGGCCGCGGGGAGCCGGCGGGCGGCGAGCGGCGAGCCGGCGGCGAGAGGGAGCGCGGCCGCCGAGGGGGCGGGGCGGGGCGCGAGGGCGGGGCTAGGCGCGGGGCGGGGCTAGCCGCGGGGGCGGGGCTAGGCGCGAGGGAGGAGCCAGGCACAGGGCGTGAGAGGAGGAGGGGCAGACAGGTGAGGGGCGGGGACAGGGGCGGGACCAGGGCGGGGGACGTGCCACAACGCCCGCCTCAGTCCCGCCCCTTCCCCCGGGCGTTGCGCGCTGGGGAGCCGGACGCAAAGGCCTTGCAAAGTGGCCGTGCCCTTCGCGACCCCTTTGCATCCGCCTCTCTTGGCTTCCAGCTCCCAACCGAGCGCGTCCCACGCCGCGGCGCGTGCGCAGAGCCTTCCACTTGCTGCAACCGGAAGTTGGGGGCGGGAGATGGCAGAGAGGCTGAGCCAATGAGAGGGAAGCAAAGGGGAGGGGTGGGGAAGTGGGCGGGGTCTTGTTAACTCCGGACCAGCCCATCCCCGCAGCCCGCAGGCTGGCTGTGGACCCTGAGACCAGCCCTGCTCAGCGCTAGCCCTGGGGCGCAGGTGTGTCCCCCAAAATAATCAAGTGCACCGAGACTTGTGTGGGGATGAGGGGAAGGGGGCTTATGGAAGTGAGATCCTGGAAGGGCGAGTATTCGGGAAAGGGCAGCGATCAGGAAAGGGCTCTTGGAGGGGAGGCACTTACACTGAATCTTAAACGATCAATAAGACTTTTCCAAAAGAAATCAATAATAGGAGTAAAAGCCATTGCGGATCGAAGCCTGGGCGTGTTTTGGCTGTGGGACTTGCTCGGAATAGAACTTGGGTGCCGGGAAGCCAGAGCTTGGCATGTGGGTGGGGAGAGGCAGGTCCTTTGTGCGGGGAGGCCCCGCTCTGAGCAGCCAGGATGCGTCCCTGCATTTGAGTCCATGAAGAATAGAAAACGGTGAAAGGGCGACTGGGGCGACTTTCTGGACGTCAGGGACGAGTTATGTTGATGATGCTCTTCAGCTCCTAAGGATCAGCAAGGCCTCTCTCCTCCTCCTCCTCCTCCTCCTCCTCCTCCTCCTCCTCCTCCTCCTCCTCTTCTTCTTCTTCTTCTTCTTCTTCTTCTTCTTCTTCTCTCTCTCTCTCTCTCTCTCTCTCTCTCTCTCTCTCTCCTCTTTTTCCACTCATCCCCTCTTTCACACGCCCGCCCATTTCTCTACTTCCCATTTGCACCCTCTTTCATATGTTTATGTACCAATACAAGTGTATGTCCTGAAAAGGTTTTAGTTTGTGCATTTATTTTTAATATATATGAATGGTCTAGTGCTCTGAACTCACTCAATGTTTCTTGTTTTCCTCTCAGCATAATGCTTTAGAGACCCATGCCTGAGGCTGTATATATCAGAGCTCAAGAATTCCTACCACCAATGACATTGGATTTGGGCCTCTAACACGTTTTACTTATCAATTCCTCAAACAATGGACAGTTTTGTTGCCAACAGTTCCTTGTTACCACAAACAATGCTGGATGGGATGTGTTTCTTGTGGACCATAAGGAAAATGGAATTGCTGGGTCATAGTTTCACTTTGCCACCACTCTCTCCAGAATGACTGTCGCTTTGCACGCCTGTCAATGGCACATCAAGGCAGGAAGGTTCCTATTTCAAGAATCCAACAAAACAGTGAGAAGACGACTGCATAGAAAAATGGGCAGAGCATATAAACAACCGGATTACCAAAGAGGAGTCTCCAATAAACCTCTGAAAAGAAGCTCAACCTCATTAATAACCAAGGAAAAGCAAATGTACACACCCACCCAAATGGCAAAAGAGTGACAACAGAGAGACCAGGTGGGACATGACAGTCGCTTGGACTGGAGTCATTATGATAGAGATGGAGCCATGTGAACAGATTTGAGAAATTTGGGGGGAACTGGGGATGTGTTGGGAAGAGGATAAAGGTCAGAGAGGCAGAGGCATTAAGGATGATGTCCGAGTTTTGGGCATCACCCACCCAGCTCTCTTTCTGCACTCTTTCATGTCTACGGGGATGGCCAATGGGGACAGTCGCCACAGAGCTCCATCTGCAGCCCCAAGTGGACTTCCCAACGTCAGCCCCATGTCAGTGGCTGCTCCCTGGAGCTCCCTTCTCTTTGGCATGAGTCTGGACAACTAGTTGAGGCTCCTAGTGGACCATGTCTGTTGGAAACTGCTCAACCCCTGACCCAGGGTTAGCACATAGTAGGGCTCTGTTGATGTTGACTGAGAAAATGGGAAGAGAAACAAAGAAGGTAGAGACAGGAAGGATAGAACAGAAAGCACTCAATTGCATAATGGAAGATCTCCTATCCCCAGGGTCCAAGCCATGATGACCTCTCATCTGGATTCACAGAGCCTGGGCTTCAGACTGAGCCTGTTCACCCAAAAGTCAGACCCTTGGGCTCTCACCCAGGGCTTCTCACCTTGTTTCTTGGTTGGGGAGGAGGAGAAACCTGCATTGTAGGATGTTGAGCAGCAGCCTGGCCTCTACCCACCTCTCATCTCACACAGAGCACGTCTTCCCACATCCCCCTGACTTCCTCGCTCCCATTTTCTCCCTCACCCACTCTGCTGTCCTCATGTGCACTGGCCTCCTGGCTCTTGTGCACACACTGGCCGTCTGATCCCAGGCAGAGCCTTGAGCACCCCCGTTCCCTCTGCTCGGAATGCTTTTCCATGGGGCTTCCAGGTGACCACTCCATGTGTCTTTCAGGCTGCGAGTCAAGTGGCACCTTCTCGGTGAAGCCAGCCCAGGACACCTTGCACGAAATTAAAATCCTACTGAATTAATTGGCTAAACCCTCCTTAACAAAAGGCCAGAGCCTGGCGGCTTAAACAACAGAAATTTGTGCTTTCACGGGTTTGGAAGCTGGAAGTCGGAGATCAAGATGCCAGCGGGGTTGGTTTCTCCTGAGGTTTGCGAGGCCGCCTCCTTCCCACTCTGTCTTCCCGTGGTCTCTTCTATGTGTGGAGGCGTCCCTGGTGTCTCCGTGTGTGTCTGGTTTCTTCCTCCTATGAGGACACCAGTCATATTGGGTTAGGGCCCCCCGAATCACCTCACTTTAACTCACTTCTTTGATGGCTCTGTCTCTGAATACAGTCACATCCTGAGGTACTGGGGTGAGGGCTTTAACAGATGAATTTTTGGGGACACAATTCACTCATACCGCCCACCATCACCACCACCAGCACTTATCAGCCTAACATTCTAAATATTTCTTAAAATATATTTTTATTGATTTAGAGGGGAAGGGAGAAGAAAAGGGAGGGAGACAGAGAAAGAGAGAGGGAAACATCAATGATGAGAGAGAATCATTGATCGGTTGCTTCCTGCACGCTCCCATGCTGGGGACTGGGCCCGAAACCCAGGCCTGTGCCCTGACCGGGGATCGATGACCTGGTTCATAAGTGGATGCTCCACCACTGAGCCACACGGACTGGGCTGAATATTTTACTTACTCACCTCATTTACAGTCTTTTTCTCCTCTAATTCCCCACTCAAATGTTGTGTTTCATGAAGACAAGGGTTTTGTCCATTTTACTCACCACTACATTCCCAATGACTAAAATAATGCCTGTACATCCATAGTAGGTGCTCATTAATTAGTCATTAAAGTCATGAATAGGCATAGCTTCTCCGCGAAGTAGCCGTAAACTTGGGGAGCCACTCAGTCCCTTTGGGCCTCAGCTGCTTCGTCAGAGGAGGGAGCCGGGGAGGTAACGGGGACGTGGAATCTGTTCCATTAGACTCCAGGTGCTGACTCGGCCCAGAGGCTCTGGGAAACCATCAGGCAAAGCTTCCATGCTAACCCTTCCTGCCAGGTGTGACCAGGGTCCCAGAGAGCAGGCAGGCGAGCAGGATGGGGAGTGAATCCACAGGCACCTGCACCGGCTGCCACGCCATCCCTCTCCCCTCCTTCCCCCTCACAATTGCCGCAGAGGCACAGCCAGGGCCTGCGGCATGGCACCCTGCAGGCAGCAGACAGGCTGTGCGGGAGCAGGCGGAACTCCCCTTGGGAAGGAGGCCGGGAAGGCTCCTCTGGCTGTGGTCAAAGTTGGCCCCTTGGGGAGTCAACCCGCCTGCACCTGGTCTCCGAGAAGCCAGACCAGCCCCTCGGGAGGAAGGCTGCAGGGGCAGAGAGAGAGTTAGCAAGACCCCAGGGCTGGGCAAGTCGGTGGCTCAGAAGCTGGGAGACAGGGGGCACCCAGAGCATCGGACGGACAGCCTAGGATGTGTCCAGGACTAAGGAGAGGCGCTGGGGCGAGGGCAGCCATAGGTGAGCAGGAGGCAGCCACAGCATCTGGGACGGGTCAGGGAGCAGGGGGAAGCGATGGGCTGCAGTAGCTGAGGAAGGAGCGGGCCGGCACCCGGGCCTGCCCTGCGGTGGCATTGGTTTCCTGAAGCCCGCAGCCTGGCCTGGTGCACCTGTTCTGGGGCGCTGGGAGAAGGGCACCCAGCCTCTGACCTGCATGGTCAGACCGGGGCCTGTGCTGAGGCGGCGCCGCCTTCTGGGGGGCCTTGGGCTGGCAGCCAGGGCGCTGCCTCTCCTCCAGCCTCCTCCCTCTGAGGCCTCAGCCCTCTTCTGAGGTCACTGGGCAAACTTGCTCCACTCCAGCCGCCCCTCAAGGGGGACAAAGGATGTCCCACCCCCAGGGGTGCTCACCTGCAGCTGGCAGATTGCACATGTGTCCTGGGAGGCAGCAGCCGAGGGCAGCAAACGTGTGAGCACATGGGGGTATGTCTGCAGAACTGTGAGGGCTGCCTGTCTCCTGCCGTGTGCAGAGGCAGCAGCGGGAGGCTGATTACAGGGCTGGTCCCCGAGGCCGCGGGTGTGGGTGCCAGGAGCTGGGCACACC